GTCAATTTCGTCAATGAAATGGAACCTAGCAATCCTGTAGAACTCTTGCTGTGCTGTGGTGATTTCGAATGTATGCGCAATCTGCGCGACTTGGAGACGCTGGCCTGTCCGATCAAATATCGAGCATTGCATGCTTTTCATCGGTACTATACTCAAGAAAAACGGGCTCCTGTGCTCACTGTCTTTATAGGTGGGAATCATGAAGCTTCGGGGTATTTACAAGAGCTTTATTATGGCGGTTGGGTAGCACCAAACATCTTTTATCTGGGTGCAGCAGGTGCGATCAATGTTGCAGGACTGCGTATTGCAGGTCTTTCGGGTATTTACAATCAGCAACACTATACAGCAGGAAGGTTCGAGGCACTGCCATTTGACAACAACACTATGCGGAGTGTCTATCATGTCCGTGAACTCGAAGTCTTTCAGCTCTCGCACTTGCAGCAGGTAGACAAGATACCAGTAGGAGCATTTTTATCGCATGATTGGCCTCGAGGTATTGAGCAGCACGGTAATGTACAGCAGTTACTACGTCGCAAACCATTCTTTGAGCAGGAGATAAGGACGAACACACTCGGTAGTCCTGCTGGCGAGTTTCTGATGTATCAGCTTCGTCCACAATATTGGTTTGCCGCACACTTGCATGTCAAGTTTTCTGCCATTGTCACTCATCCAGATCGACAAAGTAGTGAAGCAATGGTATCAAATGGTGAAAAAACACTTGAGGCTGACAAGGTCAAGCCGAGTGGCGAGCAATACGCAGCTCCCAAGCCGTCCTTCTGGCCAAGTACGACCAAGTTCTTAGCGCTTGACAAATGCCTCCCACGTAGAGAGTTTATGCAGATTTTGGACTTGCCTTCTTTGGCAATGGAGTCTACATCCAAGGAAGAGCAGAAGATAGACAGTGACAGCGTGTTAGTGACCGACGCTAAGCAGGATGTCACTGAATCTGATCAGGCTATCAAGATTAGTCCGAGTACAAAACGTTCGTCGCCACCAAAGATTATGTTCGACTTGGAATGGCTTGCTATCCTGCGCGCGACACACCATCTTGCTTCAGCCAACAAATCTGCGCCGCGCGTGCCGCAAGAGGAAATGAAAATTGAAGACAAGGACATTTCTTGGGTGAAGCAGCGCCTTGAGGAATTTGTTGCAGAGAAGAAACTAGACAAGGATCAAGGCGAATGGATCACTGATTTCGTGAAGACCGTACCAGGCCACGGTGAAGAAGAGGGGCCACATGTAGCGACGGGCAATCCTCAAACGGACCTTTTGTTGGAGCTGCTGAAGCTTCCACATGTCGTTACCGCACCATTTGTTGGCGGCGATTTGATTGCAGTGGCTGTCGAGGACCCTAATGAGATTGATCTAGACGATGACGAAGACATCGACGACACTGATACAAAGCTAGTGAACACCGAAGACGTTACCAATGATGACGACGCATGCACCAATCGCGAGGTACTAAGTGTTATGGAAACAAAAACACCTGTAGACTCGTACGAAATCACCCTCGACCTATAACTTGAACACGGCGTATCCATTACCAGCACCTCTATCACACACGACGAGGTTTATAATGAGAGAAGATGTTCTTCTGAAGCAGCTATATAGTCATTGTTATCGTCAATAACCACAAGCTCCTTACAATAACTTATAAGGAATCAAATACTCTAACGAAATAGCCAATCCATAAGAGCCACTGTCATAACCAGTCGTGTCTTTCAACGTGCAAGCGATGAAGACGTGGGTGAGAGAGGCGATAAGACGCACGCATCAGCCGCATTTCGGACCCACACTAGAGTATAAAGTAAACACATTGCTGCTGTAAGACACATGTATATCTTGTCATATCGTCCTTTGTACAGAGTGTAATCGTTGTGTAGTGATTCTGCTTTGCAGTCGACATTTGTGCAGTTGGATTGTGACAAAGAGACCAAAGCGTTCATTGATGTGCGTAATCTTGATACTTGAATTGCACAAACTCAGTCAATACGTGCTAATTGACACCCTGTTGTGATCACATGCAGACATGTACAGGAGGAAGTTTATGGGAATCCTTAGGCTCCACAATTCTTGGACTTTTCTACTCCCTGACCGACGCGAATGGAATTCTTGGACGTATGTCATACAACCAGTTCGTGTCAATGCAGTATCCGATTGCAGGCACCGCACTAGTGAATCTTCAGCTGACGATCCTTTTCTCCTTTATCTCGACGCAGGTGGTCAGATGTTTGTGCTTTCGTACGCTCAAGTCCAGCGACTTTTTCCTCGCGAGCAACTTGTGGCAGCAAGCAGTGGATCACTGCTTGACATTGGGGCTGGAGATGGAAATGTGACAGCCTCGCTGGCCTCACTCGTGGATCAAGTGACTACGACTGAGGTTTCTGCTCCCATGGTGGCTCATCTGAACACGCGAGGCTACAATAGCGTACAAACCTGCGACTTGCAGCACGAGTTCGTCCAGTCACGAAAGCCTTACAACATTATCAGGTACAGTACGTCGTGGCATCGCCGAGAGACGACTCTTTTTGGACTTTGTAACGCTGTCATGTTGTGCTCACATGATTACTTTGTTGGGGGTATATGAAGCATGCTTAATGTACTGGATCGAGCCGACAAACCACTCACGATGCTCCGTGAGATCCGCGAAATGCTAGATCGAAAAAATGGTCTCTTCCTACTAGCAGTAGTACTGCCATTCTCCGCTTTTGTGGAGGTGGGCACACAACGGATTGCACCCACCGAGAAGCTACCAATGCAGGGTGGACTCTGTGCAGATGGCGCGTCCTTTGAGGTGGCAGCCAGTCTACTGTTACGCAATGTGCTCGTTCCTGCGGGCTTTAAGCTCCGTCATTTCACCCGTGTACCTTATTTATGTCGTGGAGATATGCATCAACCGTATTATGTGCTCTCGGATGCGATTTTCGTCCTGGAAGTCGATACAAATGAGAAAGAACGAACGTGAATGCAGCTACTTTCAAGCATCATGCTGACTATTTGCTGCTAATCAGCCTAAAGTATACGCATTTGCGTTTGAGAAACACAAGCTGACTCTTTTCAGGGCAGAATTCTCTCATCCACCGAGTTTATGAAACGAATTGCTCGTAGTGGATAACGAACGAATTATAGGCATTACTCTACAGGCTTTTGAGCATTCGAGACAGGGACCACAAGTTTTGTTGGGTATATCGATGCGAAGCGGTTACAAAGTGACAGAAAGAAACGTTATTCTATTGGTTTAAATGTTGTCATCCCCTAATCGCATTTGTTTCGTACTTGGTTTTTGTATACCAATTTGGTCCGCATTTGTAGGCAGAGAGCGCGTTTCTTTTTTTCTCTCACAATTCATTTTGCGTCAAAGTTCTCATCCGGGACCTCTTCCGTGTAAAAAAAAGACAATTGAACTGGCCATAGACGACTATACAATAGAAAATGGCACCTTTAGCTGAAGTTTCTTCATCTGCTTATGAGCATGCAACTGTCATGAAACACAAGATAATTGAAGAGTTACAAGAACCACAGAGTGAGGCATTATGTGAAGAAGAAGATGGGACAAGTGATATTGAACAAAGCATCAAGGGAAAGGATGTTTACACAGTACAAGAGACGATGATTACCAAGTCTTTGGACGTCCAAGAGCCATCGAAGAAGCGCGTACGCTTTAATGTGGCGGACGTTGTGGAGTTTGAACCAACCATGTGGACAGCCACGGTTTCTTCAGAAGGTGTACCGGTAAGTAATACGTTTGTAGTTTTATGTCGGAGAGAAGTAAAGAGATTTTACTTGTCTCATGGTTTTTTTTTGTTATCTTGTAGCTTGGTATGTCTGTAGATGTGCGATGTCGCACCAAGCGGCCTCTAGACACATACGAGATTGAGCGTGTGACGCAGCGTGTTGATCGTCAAGAGTACATGGAGTTGGGCTATCTGGAGCCAGAAGAACGACTGGATATCTTAGAGAATGCTGGTCATTCCATTTCGATTATTAGCCACATTGAACGTGATACGCTTCGGATTAATCAGGAACGATGGGAATCTAATGAGTACGATCTCATGTATCAATATGGACTGGGCGAGGTACCACTGATAGAAGACGATGGTCTAGAGACGGTGCAACAGTTACATGGTGACGACATGATGAACGATAGCAGTGAGGATTTCTTTTTTTCGGCGGTTGTCGGAACATGGTCGTGGACTCTGAAGTACGGTTTGCAATGGAAAACATGGACGCGTACGACGTCATCAACACACGAACATATGACGACCTGAGCATCGACTACGCCTCCGACTGCATTTTGGGTGACGATGAGAGCTCGGACGAGAACAATGAGCTTCCTTATGCTATTGACTCGTTTGACTCTCCTCAAAGCTGCGACTTTTTGGAAATGAGGACATTGCCATCAGATATGTCAGCCTCTTCCGACCGCCTGCTAGCTGTTGCAACAGCCACAAGCTGTGCTCAGTCTGCCAGTACCACTTTCACTGCTAGCAGTGAGACCGAGTCTTCAAATATATCAGTGGAAGTGGCACCCTTTGTCGCCGTATAAACTTGTCGGAGCCTATCAGAATTTCGCCAACATGTGTTTTGTGCTGCCACGGATGTAGAATATATGCCTATGAGAATTGTGCGGTGCCATTTTATAGGCGGTCTGGTGAAGTATGAAACAGCCAAACATCCTATCGATATTTAGTAAGCAAGGAACGACTTTTGCCCCACCCATTTGACTATTGATAGCGGATACTTTCGTCCGAAGGAGTTTTTTTCCTGTAAAATAATTACAAATGCTGCTCACATAATAAATACCCATACTACGTCGCCTATAAAAAAAGAACCTCGTAAGTCGTTTGTTACGGACTAAATCGGTTTTTACAGGCTACTAAAAGTACCCATCGTATAATTCCACCTTCATAACATAATAATGCTGTTTCATATTCGTACCTAGTAGAATATCTCCGGTACCAACATCTTTCGTAGCCACAGGCCTTCCATCAGTTAGTATCATGGTCGTCCTTCCTTCCGTCATTCGATTCTCAACGCGCTCGCTACGATATTCACGCTCGACGTCAGTACGTTTACTGTCTACTACAGCTCCTTTTGATACACAGGTACCACACTATGACGTAGTTGTCGTAGGTGGCGGTATAATAGGCTCTGCTTTGGCCTGTCAATTAAAAAGTAGCCCCGTATTCAAGGGCAAGAATGTTGCAGTCATTGAGACCATAGCACCCCCTATTGCTCCGTCTGTAGAAACAGACTCACCCGATCTTCGTGTGTTTACTATTACGCCAGCCAGTAAACGGGTACTGGAAAGCACTGGTGCTTGGAACCTCCTTGCTGACTGTAATAAGGCCGTATTCAAAGACATGCAGGTCTGGGACGCCATGGGGGACGGATTCATCCGTTTTGATGCGAAAAAGGTGCAAAAGGACGTACTGGGCTATGTACTGGAGCATCGTGTACTGGTGCGTGCATTGCACGACCGTATGAACCAATTGAAAGCTGACGCGGATGACAGCGCTCCATTGAAACTCTATTGTCCTGCTAAAGTCAAGCACTTTCAGCGTCCTACTTCGGTATCAGGTATTTCTGAGATTGGTCTTGAAGATGGACAACGTATGAAGGCGGACCTGGTGGTAGCTGCGGATGGTGGTAATTCCATTATTCGTACGCTCTCGGCTCTTGGAACTTGGGGATGGGATTATGATCAGCAGGCTGTCGTTGCAACGGTTGAAACCGACCGTGTCAATGAGACAGCTTGGCAACGGTTCTATCCTACCGGTCCTGTGGCTCTATTGCCGATGCGTGACGGCTACTCGTCTGTGGTTTGGTCGTGCTCAGCTGATATGGCAAAAGAACTTACAGCGCTCAGCTCTGATGAATTCGTGGCTCGTCTGAATGATGCCTACGCTGCCCCATCGATGACACCCGTGCCTCCTGAGTTTCCGGGTATTCCAGTGCTGTCGGACTTGGTGCAGGGCGTGCATCACGCTGCACACACGATCATGTCGGCGGCGGCTCTATCGGATCCGTTTGTCGCTCCGCCAAAGGCTGTGGCGACAGTGGGTCATCGCTTTGCCTTTCCACTCAAGCTGAAGCACGCGACCAAGTACATAAAGCCAGGTCTTGCCCTTGTGGGTGACTCCGCGCACACGATCCACCCGCTTGCTGGTCAGGGTCTGAACCTTGGTCTAGGTGACGTGCAGTCTCTGAGCAATCTCCTTGTTGAGGGTGTCAAGAGTGGTGAGAATCTATCAAGCGAGTACTTCCTGCAGCAGTACGAGGACGAACGTATGAAGGCCAACATCACTATGCAGTTGGCCATGGACGGTTTCAAGCGGATGTTTGGCCCTACTCCCGATGCGTTGTCTGTAGCACGCAACATTGGCATGGGCACGCTGAACGCCGCAGAGCCGCTCAAGAACGAGATCATGAAGTATGCTATGGGTTTGTAGATGCATCCAAATGGCAAGTTGGTGGCTCAATGTTGTCGTATCATCCATATCCTGTCGTCAAACTTCAGCAGAGAGCAAGTAAAACAATCGTCAGGACACTTGGGATTTACTTTGATATCGTCGTGCATTAGTTTCTCATCAACTAGTCTTCTTTGAGTTGCTTGTCGTGCGAAAACAAGTTCCGGTTCACTTCAAAGATGGAGATATCTCCAATCCCAGGGGTAGCTTCTGTGTCATCTTCAAAGCATGTCGAGCCTTCTGGCAGTGGCACCGTATGTGTGTCCAGGATCGTAGCATACGACTGAAGGCTTGGCGTGGACAGCAAGTTCATAGCCTTGTAAAGCACCAATGAGAAGAGGTACGTCACGACAATCATCGCCGGCACCGCCACCGCCCAATGTTTTGACGGGAAGTAGGTGAACCCGTAAGCTTCTAACGATCTCTCGGGCACGTACGCCCACACTAAGAACAGCACTACACATAACACAATAGTCACTCCATGATCCCAATACAGTCTCAGCGCTCGAGACGTACCATAGAAAAGAGCAGATGCTAACCAGCCCCCAAAGCCGAAGAGCTCCATTCGCATAGCGTGCAATCGCTGAAGTTCCTTGAACGACACTTGGGTGGAAGTCGGTGGTACGACGGTTGATCTCATTACAGTTTCTCTGTGCGTATTAAAGTGTGGTGGTGGGCTCGGTACATCCGTTGACGTTTTTTTTCTTCCGGTCATGACGCTGCAAATCGCAACTTTTTTGTGGTAGAAATCGTCGGAAGACCGACATGAGATTGATATAGGAGGAATCGATTCAATTGATTCAATGAGGCGCTGCACGTCGAAACCTTTACATACTTCGTGGTGACCATCATTATACAGACGATCTCGTTAGACATATCAACAAATGTCCATCAATGCGGGAGCAGTTCGTTCAAGGCAGTGTCACGTTCGTTCTCACTTTCTCCGTCTCGTGCACTTGGAGTCGAGTTGATTAGTGCACGCTTTACCTGCTCCGTACGTGAGACTTTGTGGCGCATTTTGGGGAAGAAACCAACAGGAGGTGCACCAGAAAGTGGATATACGTCGTCCGTGTCAATGTTTTTGACCAGACGGAAGCAGCGAGCACAATGTTCCTCCTCCAGGTCGCGTCGGGTAATGATACCGCGTACGTTATTGTGACGGTTCACAACGACGAGATGCCGAAGCCCAGCGCTTCGGAAGAGACGGTAAGCGCGCACAAATGGCGCTTCCTCCTGAATCAAGTACGGCGTCTGGTTCATGTATGGTGTAAGGTCCACCCACAGAGCTCGGTCTTCTTCGGACAGAGTATACAGCTCGTCTCCAGCAATACGACCAGCATGAGCTGCAGCCTGGAAACCCTGGTGCATCGGAGTCGGGATTGGGTATCGCGGATAATGGTTCTCCATGTCGTGGTACGATAAGCAATAATTGCTGGCAAGGGGTGACTCTAGCAACTTATCATCAACTCGGGGCGTGTCATTCGCTTCCAAATCTCTCGAGCGACGGTGGCGAAGGGTACCAATCGATGCTACGTCAGGTTGATAAGAAGCAGGATGTGGCTGACGGTGAAATGGCTTGGGTTTTTCAACGCTGAAATCATGATGGCTCAGCATGACGTTCAGCTGCTTTCGCAGTATTACGCCTGCAAAGAAGCAGCTACCAAAGGTTGGATCCTCCACGATGACAGGGAACGCGTTGTGCTCCGTACTCACGAGCAGATCAAAAATGACACCAGCGCGCTCGACTGTGCGCAGTGTCTTTGGGTTTGCAGTCATGACGTGCTTCACACGGAGGAAAGCGCCGCGTAGTGGAGGATTCCAGTCCAGGAACGGAACGCGGCGCAGGTGAATATGGATATCGTAGATGCCCTCGTTAAAGTAGTTCCCTACCCAGCGAGCGAAGAACGACGTCAGAATGAGTGGTAGACCGAACTCGATGTTGCCCGTGCACTCGAGAATGATGACAGTGAGGGAGATGGTCATACGAGTCACACCGCCAAGCATCGCTAGGCTTCCCACAAGCCCGTACGTCCGTGGGTCGACAGGTTTAATTTGATGTAGCCCTGTGAAGTAATTGATCACTCGAGTCCAAAGTCGTCCATAAGCTGCACCGATAAGCAATGCTGGTACGAACAAGCCGCTTGGGATCTTGAGACCGTAGGTTAAGCAAGCCAGGAGAAGCATCATGAGCCAAAATACCACAAGATTGCGCACATCAAATGAGTCTGGTGGTGCATGAAACAGGTGCTTAATGGCAACTTCTCCTCCTGTCAACATCAGCGATGCTAAGTCGTTGTATTGGCCTTTGGGGCAGTAAAAGCGCAGCAACTCTTTCTTGTATGGGTATTGCACGGTCTCGTCAGTTTGGAAGCACTCTGCGCCTTCCATCGACACGCTTGCACAGCTCTCACAAATACATGCTGAACTATTCTTCTTCAGCATTTCCATTCCAAACACAAAAGCCTTGTTGGGCGCCAAAGCGGCACCGGCAGCGTCTGCAAGATGAATGACGTCGTCACGTGCACGAGGAAGGTTGTGGCATTTGCCGAGCAGAAATGGTGTCGAAAACAGGAGCGATGAGATCAGAACCGACAGCAGTAGGGCTTCCATCCACGCGACTCCGCGTGTGCGCACCCAACGAGAACGTAGTTTTGATAGACGCGTATTAAGCCCGTTGAATAATGCTCCTTGCAGCCCGCCACCAATGCCCATCATAATAAAAAGTGGAACCTCCCAGATTTGGTATGTGCTAGATGTGAATGGCCCAAAGCTAAAGCTTCCCGTGTGACTTCCAAGCGTACCCCATGACAGGTTATCGTTCATTCCGGAGAGGAAGAACGCCAATGTAAATGTCGCTGACATGGCGCAAAAGAGCGTTCTCCAGGTGAGCGTCTGATTCCAGAATGATGCGCCTTCCTCCAAGACGAACAGAACTCCACCGATGGGAGCCCCGAACGCTGAGGCAACACCAGCTGCCGCGCCACAAGCAACGAAGTCGCGTTTCTCCCTATCATTTCGGAAACCTCCAAAATAGGAAAAGCTACAGAGCGTTTGCGGTCAGCATTCCCACACAAGGATCGCTCTCTCTTGCTATAACAAGATACTGCTTACCTCGTGTCGTAGCCGAGTGTGGACGATTTACCCTGAGAAAGCCCTGCCGCGACGATTGCGCCACTACACAACAGCAACAAATTTATGTTATCGTCACCAACTAAAAATAAAGTAGCAGCACCTTTCAACTTACCTGTGAATCATAGGTCCTTCTTTTCCTACTGGTAAACCACCAGCAACAGAGCATACAGTGCCAATGATTTTACAAAAGAATGTGCGTAGACGCAGCATACGTGGGATCTTCATGCCGTTAAGCGTTGTCTTGACTTCCGAAATACCTGAACATGAGATATCCGAAAATTACTACATCTCCCGTCTCTTCTTACACAATATCCACGACGAATTACCTGATCCAGCAGCTACTGGCTCTCCAAAAGAAGTGACAGTTGCAGCAATTGCCACAAGCCCGAGATTGAACGCTACGATGCTCCAGAATGTAGTGCCAAAGAGCACGTTCTTGGCCAATTCATGCTGGATAGTGTACTCGAGTAAATGCTGCTTGAGCGATAGAAGCAGCGTAGTAAAGTAGAGCATAAATACCGCTACAAGTGCCGTAATGACGCCTGTAATAAGTGTGAGGAACCAGCGCGCATAGATGAGTCGATTCTTTTCCTGTCCATAGCGATCCTTGTTGCCCATACCGGACTTGTTTACGACGCTTTCAAATAGATCTACAGTAATCAAATGCACATTATAAATAGCAGTTAGCTCTTTGAAATGTGATATTGTATGTATCATACAAAAATCAAGTCATTACCATAGTCTAAACTCTCCAGATCAGTTCTTTTCCATAACATTGTGTAGCAATAGCTTCAACTTGAAATTGTCCGTGCTGTAGTTGGTTAGATATAAAGAATAGGGTATTGAATGAATCAGAATTGAAGCCGCTACTTGATGACGAGTTAATGGCGGATGAAAAGAAGAAATAGCAGTGATATTTAAGCTGCAGGCACAGGTCCTAACGGCTCAGCTCTTGTCTTTCTTGGAAAGTGGCGGAACATCACATATCTACCGAATATTGACCAATCAGAAGAGCGAGGAGTTTTCTATCAAATTCTAAAGGCTGTTAAGTATTTATCTGTCTATGCTTATGTATTCTATAAACTAATACATTTGTTTATAGATATAAACATGCATCAAACCAATCCATATCGCTTTTCCAAGGTATAATCCGCTTAGGGAACGAGTGGCAAAGCAGGAAGAACGTGGTGCCTTCATGTCGCCGCATCACGAGCGCTTAAGACGCTTTTATCACAAGTACAATGCTGAAAAATTGCACGAAATTGACAGTGTATTGGAGCGCTTCAAAGGTCGTGAGACGCAGCTGTTTTCGACGCTTGTAAAGAAGTATGGCCCCGAGCCCACTGCAGATGAAAGTTTCGATGTCGCTGTGACGTTAAAAGAGATCGAAACGGACGCTGAGGACGTATTGGAGTCAAAGGAAGTACAGTGCTTTTATCACCAGCGATTGCTGGCTTTTTACCACAAGTACAACCCTGAAAAGGTTGATGATGTGGCTCAAGTACTGGTCAAGTACAAGGGTAAAGAGTCGAAGCTTTTTGATGCACTGACCAAGAAATACGGCCCAGAACCTGGCGACTCGGACGATGAGGAAGAGGTGCATCAAGAGGAGGGAAAAGAGGAGAAAGAGAGTGACAATGGTGATCAGGCCAAGCTACGGAACGTGGTCTACTGTCCCATTGACACGTTCCCGCCAGAGTATTGTGAGTACGGCCCTATGTTTAACGAGTGTAAACCCTGGCTAGCTGAGCATTGTCCGGATCTGATACTAACCAAGTACAATCGTACGGTAACGGAACTGCTGGAAGTGGAGCAGCAGATTGCTGCTGGTGTCGAAGGTATCACACTTGAAGTGACAGGCAAGACTGTCAAGAAGAAAAAGAAGAACAAGATTGAAGAAGCGGCCAAGCGGAAAGAGAATTGTATGGTGACTATATCCAAGAGCTCACGCAAAGGACGCAAACGTCTTACTTTTGTCACGGGTCTTGAGGACTTTGAAGATGTTAACATAAAGGATGCTTGCAAGAGTATGGGCAAGAAGTTTGCGTGCAGCTCGTCGTTGTCAAAGACGGACCAGGGCCAGCAACAGATTCAGCTGCAAGGCGATTGCGTCACTGAGCTATTGGAAGTGCTACCAGAGATGTTTGGTGTTCATGAAGACCAGATCATCGTCGTTGATGAACCTATTAAGGCTGCTAAGAAAAGCAAGAAGTAGCTGAAGCACTTTTACGTAGCTCCTCAGTGTTACTGCAGGTATCCATCCTACCACTAATCCTACATTCCATCCTGCTCGTATCTAGTGTGACAACATCTTTGTAGCCAACTAAAACGGTTCTTCACTGTAGCTTTGGCTCATAACGACGTCAAGATGAGCGACGACATTTTAGACAACATGTCTCTCTCGGACGACGAAATGCTCGACAGCTTAGCAGACGATATGCTGATGGAGATGATGGAAGACATGGAGCAACCAGCGGCGATATCAACCCCCGCTGTATCAAGCTCATGGTCTCAAGGATCAGTGTCAGTCCCCAGCACTGTGATTCCTCCAGCCAACATGCCGGATCTGGGTCAAATGATGTCTCAAATGATGCCCTTGATGTCCCAAATGTTTAGTGGGAATGCCGGTGTCAACCCGATGCTTGGAGGTGGTGCCAATTCGTTGCAGCAAGCACCAATCTCATGGCAGGAGCTCGTGAAGCGTCATGTACCAAGCAACGAGCAGGAAGATTGGCTCACGACCATCGACAAGGACGCGACCAAGCTGTACATTTCCACTGCTTCTAAGAGTCTCATTAAGCCACACAGTCGCTCTTACCGCACGACGGCATCGCCAATGCCCAACGTGTACATGGAAGTGGGCACGATGCTGGCCAACATGCTAAACGAGGCGGTGCGCTCTGCTCAATTGGAGCACAATCGGCAGTGGCAGGAGTTAAAGGATGGCGTCGTGTCGCATCTTGCACAAACTGGGATGACGAAGGTGTTTGAAAACAAGTTCAAGGAGATGCTACGACAGCGCGTTGCTAATGATCCAGACTATCTGGCAGAGAAAGACAGCGATCGCTATCGCAACATAACAGAAGCACTCTCAGTATAATGCACATGATGATCATGTTGCATTGCTAAGCACTACACTGCAGTATCAAAAGTTGTTGTAGAGTTCGACAAACTGCTCGAATTCCTGTCGACTTGCTGCTTGAGTAATATCACGAGCATTGCGAGAATTGCCAGTAACTTTGCAACAACTCGACTTCTCTATTTGTTGTATCCATACATGGCTAGACGAAGGGCCAAGTATCGACTAAGTAGCTCACAGAATAGGCAATGCAGGCCCACACGAACGATGCGAAGATTAATGACGCTATGATCGGCCTCCTTCGAATAAGCGAAAGCTGCACGGCATGAAGAATAGAAACAACTTGGCGCCATTCGCTACAGATTGTAAGTTTTACGTTTGCAAAGCCAGCAAATGGTGCAATGGTCTGCTTCCATCCAACATGTGAGCAGCTACATGACATTACGTATTACATGTATCATGCATGTAACTACTGAACATTCTGACCACTGGTGGATGGTTACGAAAAAGGTGGTTGATGAATAACGCCTACCTTTTGTTAGCTCTAATTTAAGCTCAGAATTAATGTCAACTATCTAATTAATTATTAAAATCGCCCTAAAAATATCTCCATAAATAGGTCAGACAATATATTGGCGCTTGCCAGTAGCCGTTTTTTAGCGGAATTTTGCTTCGATCCGTCCGTTTCAGAGCGAAACAGACATGCACGTTCTGTACCAAGCTCAGCATAAAGGATCGTTCTGGGCTCATGTGTTTGCAGTACAAACTGCAACAACAGCTTCACTACAAATCGTCCAATCCGATAAATCCATATGTTGTCTCACATGCATAGACGGAACAAATTGAGGACGACACAAACGTGAAACGAGATCAAATAGTGTTTCAGTATCGGCTTCAGTTGAAGTTCAGTTCTTGCGAGTAGGTGAAAAGGTTCTTCAGGGGTAGGTCTGCATTGAAGCTCTTTTCATTGGATAATAAAACCTTATTCGTCCTTTCTTTCACTGCAAAAGAACCAATCCGCATCGAATAAGATTAAAACTTCGCCACTGACGTCTTCAATCTTGACCTCATACTGCAATTTACTGTCCAAGACTCAAGCCGCTTCCGAAAATGGTTTCTTCCCTTCTACCGTCGTCTCTAGACGCCCTAGCCCCTCCTTTTTATCCGTCCATGTCATGGTACTCTTCAATTACGGAAGATTATTACCAAGAGCGACCACATTCACCTGGTAAAGCAGGATTTGTGATTGCTGACCCTGTCGAGCTTTTGCAGGAGATTCCGGACGAGGAGCTCTTTGATCCGGACTTTTACCCACTGTCCGCTACAGAGATGCAAGAGCTGGAGCAAGTGGATGAGATCAATGAGATATTGGCCGAGCTGGAGCTGATGGAGCATCAGCAGGAGCTGCATTACAAATTGAGTGAGAAGACACGTGAGCTTCGCTCGAACTCGGACGAGGATGCTGAGATTTACAACTGGATGACCAGGACTACTAAAGCCAAGAGTTGTAGCACGAAACAGCAAGTACATTTTCAGAAGAAAAGCTTCCACAACAAGCCAAACACGCTTCATCAGCCTCGCTCGGTCAAGTAGAGGCCGTACACGTTGATTTTTTTGACGTGTAGCGGTACGTGTTTTCACGCCAATGAAGGAAGTGAACAGCGTGATGACGTGTGTGAACAAGACACGTGCATGTGTTTATAAAAAAGGGAAGAAAAATCCAGGCTTCATCTCAAAGAAGAAAGAGAGAGAAAGAGAAACAAGAAATATCCAACAAGTCAGAGCTTTGGTGTGCGTGCTGTAATGACAGAACGTGTACTAAAGACTGGCGATGAAAATAAAATTGAATTGCGGACGACTCGTGCTACAGAAATAAAGTCAGTTGCAACAACGAGGTTAGAAAATACGTAAAAGAGAACGTCGAAGAGATCGAGTGAGCGGCACGACGATGGGACTGGGACTTGAACTTGAGACGAAGACGACAGCCGATGGAAGGGTAGTTTGAATGTAGTGTTATGATGTCCTATGACGTGGTCTGTGAATGCAGCGTCCACTGTGAATCAAGCAGTACGAGTGTACCATTATCCCCCGAAAAAAATTAAATAATGTAAGATGGAGCAAGGTTTTCAACCAACAGCACAGTCTTTTGATGTATCATATCCAGTAACCTCCATGTAAGGTCGACGTGGCGTGAGACTTGGTAATATGGGCTTGTTTTCGGGACTTGTGGCACTGAATCGTAGCCGAACAAGTGCTTGACGGTCTTCGGAACTTATGTTTCGTATGCGATCGAGGTTGACTTCATCGGCATAGGTCCTCATTGCCACCTCGTTGTTCAGAAAACTATCCAATCGTCCACGTTTTCCTGAATAAGGAGTCGGTGCTGTCTGGTTCTGAAGATCAGAAGCACTCGATCTACTACGACGGCATTTACGCAGCAATTTCACGCGGGCAGCAAGACAGCTTTGAAGTAAAATAGCGAGACGAATTAGTGTGTTTTGTGTCATGCCATGCAATGGATCAAATGATGAAGGAGCTCGTATTGACTTGGATTGATGGATGGGTAGCTAGCTGATTATGACTCATGTCATTAGAACTACATTAATATGAGATTAAAGTAGCATTTGAATACGGAATAGAGTAGAACCTGTGTAAGCTAATTCTACATAAACAAATAACCTTCACAATATAATTGGACGGCTTGCTCCTAAAGCCGCAACTGGTGATTGTTTTATACCTGTTACATATAATAGATTGTGTATATTTGTAGATTATTAGTCTCCTCAGAATATTCATTTAGACATGTTCTACGGTATATTAGGCCCCTAACGGCTCTCTATGTCGGACCACTTCAACATGAGTAGAATTGTAATTTCTACTATTTAGTAGTACAGAAACCATACTGACCCCTTCGGCCGTCCAGTCATTTTGGTCATACCACCAAGCACCAAGTAATTGGATTGCTTTCTTGGTCTCTGTGCAGCTCAATAGCATCATCATATCGTCGTCTTTACTACTGTAGCAACGTCCAGACGCTTGCAATTCTTTTCATCCAAAAATCAGATCCAGAAACCAGATATGACGACCGTTAAACGGTTAAATCTGAGCAAGACACGTGACGACGAGAGTTCATTGACCTCATCCTCTGACGATGAACAGGAGAAGCAGCAGATGAAGCAGACGCTTGCAGAGGAAGATGCACTTAGCTCTGATGAAGATTCCGATCAGTAAATGGCCAATTGCGTTGTCTGTACGTGAGATATTTTCCATTACTGACGATTGTTTATTGGCACATGATACAGAGACTTTGAGATCCCACCGGGCTTTGAAAGCGTTAAAGGAAGTGGAGCTTTGACGCGTGAAGCGGTACTGAACAATGATCAGGAGCTCTGGTTCTTTAAGTTGCCCAAGAACGTACGTGCTTCGTTACAACAACCAGGACAATACTCTCTTGTCAGATAGATTGTTAATTGTTTTACTGCTGCTGTAGCTGGATGCATCGGCGCTGTCAAACGTGACTATTAAAGTAAACGAGACCAAGAATGTGGTGACGCCGGGAGAATTAGTGGCAAAAGTCACGGCCAGAGAAGATGATAAGAAATACCTGTTGCAGAGTGAGGACCGTATGCTCACGGACCAGCTCGTGAATGCTCTCCCGCTTGCTTCAAACCGTGCTCGCTTTGTGCTAGGCAAACCGTTCTCGCGTTGTTTTTCACTAGTGGAAGACCATGTTGATGCCTCTCCTGTAGTATCAAAAAAGAAGGCGACCAAGGTAGTCACTGCGTCACCTGTCAAAGAGAAGCGCAAGAAAAAGCACTCGTTCGACAACAATGAGAAACACAAGTCGAAAAAGGCAAAGCACAAGATATAAAACTTACAAGCGACCGAAACATAGCGCAGTTCTCGATAGATTTCACGGAACATTCATCACCTATTTCATATTGTTGTTCTCATTCGGTTCGTCACAAGCTGTTGGCTAAGTTTTGATCTCGTCGAAAGATAACACCATGTGAACGAAGCGGTGGTCGTCTAAAAAAGCAGGAGTGGTTCTGGTGACGGTGCCTCCTGACGTTTGGAGCTCTTGTGCTTGTCCTTTCTCTTCTTCTTGCTCTTCTCGCCATCACCGCTATTCTTACTGGAGCTGCTCTTCTTGTGGCTACTGCTTGTCCTTGTAGACGAGCTCCGGCAATGGCTACGGCTCTCCTCAGCCTTTGCTGCTTCCTCGCTAAAGCCTCCAACTAGTAAACTCTCTTGTTTTCGTGAAGACTTCTTGGATTTAGTAGAGCTCTTGGATGACGACTCCTTTTTCTTCTTGCCGTCATCTACGCCACGAAGAGACCTCTTGTGCTTTGAGCTCCTCTTTTTCGACTTATTTTCGTCGTCCACCGGCTTGGCAGACGGTGTCTGACGATGAAACCATTGATCAGTGGGGACCTTTTCGTCTTCACCCAAAGGGGTGCTCAAATCTACTGCAGCTAGGTCCTGCATCACAATAACATTTGTATGAGGATGAGAGACCCGAACCACTAGATCACTGTAGCCATTTTATAGGAAACGTACATCTTCGTCTATACCAACGCGCTTTTTCCGAGATCGTCGGCGGTCTTCATCACTAGAACGAGCACCGTCAGGCATCACCTCGACCTCAAAAATATCGCGAGACTTTAACTTCTGTAAAGCACAAACAAGGAGGGTAAGAGCTCGCAATTTGATTCATCAACAAGTCTACATCGCACCTTTGATGCTTTCTTCTTCTTTCCATTCGTACCCAAAGCACCCATCATATCTGCAAAGCTCTTGAATCAAAAAGAGACGTTATCACATTAGCAAACTGACTAGAAATACAAATGTTTCACACAATGTTTCTTACCGCGTTAGCTCCGGCGTCAGTGGATGCTTGAGAGCCGCCAGAGAGATAAAAGGGATCTTTGCGAAGTCGCTCTTGCTCACGCGCATGTTCACGTTTCTTTTTCTCTCTCTCATCAGCGGAGTTTTCAGATTCGGATTCTGACTCGGAAGAAGAGGAGCTGTGGTGACGGCGGTTGTGCTTGTGCTTGTGCTTCGGCTTTCGCTCGGGAGATCCATCGCTAATACCACTGTAACCTCCACCAATACCAGCGTGAACCTGGCTAACAAAGGAGACCTCAAGATCGTCTTCATTTGAAAATGCCGACACGTCGCCACCAGATTCAAGGAATTTTGCCTCTGCATTAGTTAAAGGCTCGTCAAGATCCAGATCACCAGGCAGTGGCACCTTTCGCTGTGCCTTAGCACCAACGGGAGCCAATCGTTCAGCGAAATACGAGCTCAGCACATCAAGTTTCTTGGCTGGGTCAATAGATGCGCTCCCATCAAACGCACGTTCAGTACGTTCTCGCGCAGTTAATGCGCCAAGTCCCATATTTAACGCAAGTAGGAGTTGCTGTAGACACACAGCACGCTCTTGCACCTCAATATATTCACTTTGAACAAAAGTTGGCAAGCGCTCCATAATAACTGTTGCAGTACGCTCCAACATGGCATCATCTGCACGTTCAGCCATGGCAGCAAGAATCTTTAGAAGTGCCTGAATGAAAACAGTCTGAACGCGGGCAGGTAACGCATTCGCTCGAGGTTGAAGTATATCACCAGCAAGATCTTCCAGTCGCTGAAGCTTCTCCTCTTCTGTTTCTTTCTCTTCGTCGTCGTCGTCCTCCTCTTCATCATCGTCCACATCATTCAAAAACGTCATCACGTACTCACCCATAATCCAAGCCGCTGCATAGTACACTTCCTGCAGAGTGCCTGCCCCCGGGCCACTAAGCGCCTCCGTTTCAATCAACAACTGAATCATGCTGTCCACCATGATGCTGCGTACACTCTTCACACGAACAGCGATATCCACAAGCTGCCGTGCCACCTCCACACCATGCGAGCGCATCCTTGGCTCGTCATCCGTCACTTTTATCTTTGTGCTACTACTGCTAGAGCCAAGCATGCTTCCTGACGATGGGGACAGCGACGAAAGTGATGCATCTACCATAGCAGCATTGTTTCCTGGTACGCGAGCAAGCTGTACCAACACGTGAATGTACCAGTCAAAGTCGTGAATGTTGGCGTACTTGTTGACCGAGCAAACATGCAAAATGTGAGTGATGAGCTCATGTCGGTAAGCACCGTCAGCATTCAGAGTCTGGCGCATGAGCTCACGGATAATAGGCACTGCATTGTCTGGATTGACCATGCCAGACAGCAATTCCAGTGCACGCATACGAATTGTAATATCATCCACGGCAAGACACTCGACAATAAGCTCCTGATGATCCTTGACCACGTACGGATGCGACTTCATCAAGTTACTGAGACCAACAAGTCCCAAGTAGCGTAAATTTTGATCTGGGTCTTCAATGTAGCGGCGCAAGTGGTCATTACAAAGTCGAACAACTGCTGCCACATTGCGCGGCTGTGATCCGTCACTCTTTTTTGTATACAGCAATGCCGTCGTGACGGTGCTAATGCACTCGTAGAGCAACGACTTGGCCGGTGTGTTTTGAATCACGGTGGCCAATGGATCCAATAGTTTCCGAGCAAGACGAGGTTCTTCCGGTACTAAACTCGCCAACAACTTGACAACTTTAATGAGCATCCAATTGTTGGACGATGTTGTCAGAAGACGAAAAAATTCCGGTGCCAGTCCTAAATAATTCTTGGGTTTTTTATTTGCCAATTCACAAATGACATTAACTGCACAGGAAACAACGGTAATATCTGGTTCTTCCATTCTCTCTTTAAGTTTGTCAAAAGAGAGTCGTAATCCTTGGGGATACCGTAGAAACATCTTGTACAGCACAAGAGTAGCTTTCTTTCGAACATATGGTTTTGACGATTCCATCATGACTAAGACATCACCCAGTAAATCCCGTGCCAAGTCCGTCGTGACAATATTCGCCAAGACATTAATAGCAAGTCCAACTTCATGTTCATTGAGACTTCCAAATTCTTTTTTTAATAAATTGGTACATAATAAAACAACGTCCGTTGATTGGGTAAAGCTTTGACAGGCAGCATTGTAGCCAATTCGTTTATGTGCGAAACGTTCATAACTCATGACTTCAACGACATGAAAAGCAGCCCACGACATATCATAGCCCAGCATATGAAGATACGTGAGTTTTCGTATGGCTTGTGCTTTTAAAAAAGGGTCGGTACTACGAAGTTCTGCTTTAATTTCTTGTAATGCTTGTGCAATGTAGATCGTTACATCACCTTTGGTAGAACGAATTCCCTTGACGAGATCCTGGAGATTCTTTTCAAACATTATTCGAAATGAGAGAGATGATGGCCATTCAAGAGGGTTTTTTTTTAAGTCGGTAGGGGGGGGGGGGGTGATAAACGATTGGAACCCGAATTGAGGGAATGACTTTGTGTTTGTATGGAAAATGGGTTTGGACCCAGATTACAGGTCGATCGTGTACTACATGTAAGGTAGTATATATATAAAGAAGTTTTGCATGGTAGAATTTACAAGACGAGAACAAAATGATATACAGAAAAGAGGAGAACGTTGTTATAGGATTGTATTGGTTACTTGGAGTTGAATAGGAAAGAGAATCTCAACCCATTACTAACTCGAGAAGAATCATAAGTGTGTTGATAATCATGAGTGGAACTGTAGCATAAAAGACAAGAGCAAGTTCGATATCACACATCGAGAACAAGAGATTGTGGTAGAGTATTGATATATAAGACAAAGACTATATCACGTACAGCGTAAATACTGCACGGCAATGAGAAATCCCACAATCTGATTCTTGATGGTCATGCCCTGAGACGAGTCCACCTTGTGCCAACCATCTACAGTCGTAATGAAGTAAATACATACGATTATTTAATTATAAAATCCATGTAAATGAAGGACGTACGGGGACGTAGGAATCGCTTTTCGTGTAGAATACACACAGCGTTCGTCAGGAGTAGACTCGTAAGCACAAAATTCCACAATACGCCCATTCGTTGCTATATCAAATGACCCGAGGACGTGGCGAAACGTTAAAAGAAGGATTTGATTGGTTAAAAAGAACAGCTCTCAATCACATTTTAGAATCAGAATGATATTGCATCTTCATTATTGCAATATAATTTAATTATTATTATTACACGATCACTACATATTATTCTGAGCTATTTATTGTATTAATTGAGAGACACCTTTTGGCCCGCTGATGTGATGGCTCGTGACGTGTCTAGACGACACAAGCAGCGTGAGGAGATGGTTGCATCTGCACTATTAAACAAGACAGAAAGTTCAAGACAACGACCCCGTGATAGCGACGTTGGAATGCTACCGCGTCTTCTCGTGCGCATTGGTGTGGCAGCTCTTATTGTTGTTCTCGGGACGTTCGTGATGGTCATGCAGCAACCAGCAACGATTCCGACACGTAGCCACACGTTGAATCCTTCAGAGAAAGTACAAGCTGAAACAAGAGCTAGTCGTCGAGCTACTGTGTACCCAATGGTTGAAGTAGTGGACAAGTATCCGCACGACTCGACAGCATTTACGCAAGGCTTTACGGTTATCAATCGAGACAAGAAGAAGATCTTTATTGAGTCGACGGGGCTCTATGGAAAATCGAGTTTACGTCAGGTTGACATTGAAAGTGGAAACGTGATAAGGCAATATGATTTACCTAAAGAGCTCTTTGGAGAAGGCGTGACACTCGGACCAAAGGACGAGCTGATCATGCTTACGTGGAAGAGCAAGATTGGTCTTGTGTTTGATCTGAAGAAGGCTGTGGGTGGCAAAATCGATGACTTTACCGTGAAGCGTGACTTTAAGTTTGACACTGTCACGGGTGAAGGTTGGGGCGTCACTTATGATGGCAAAGACCTCATTGTCTCGGACGGGTCATCAACCATTATGTTCTGGGATCCATCAACGATGAAGGAAACTCGACGTGTTGATGTCACGATCTATGACGGCGAGCAAGAAATCCCTTACATCAATGAACTCGAGGTCGCCAAGGGGTTCATCTATGCAAACGTGTGGTATCAGCCTTACATCCTGAAAATTAACCCCACGACTGGTGCCGTCGTCACGATGTTTGACATGTCGAAACTCGTTGCAGACGTGGGTGTTGATGTAACGTCCGGTGCTGTTCTGAACGGTATCGCCTACGACGACAAAGACGATGTCTTCTATGTTACAGGTAAGCACTGGAATTTCGTCTACAAAGTCCGTCTTGTCGAGTAAAAGTCAGAAAAAAAACAATTGACTGCACACGTGCAGCACAAGAGGAAGAGCATGCAAGCACAAGGGTACGATATCTTAACTAGAATAAGCTTTTGTGTGCAAGCAGAAAAATCAAGTTTCTTGGACCTCGCTCGTCTCTCTCATCTTGTTGCTCTCCAGACAGTCTCAGCACTGTCTTTTGTTATCCTTCTTGCTGTAGGAACGGGTTTGGTATCTCACTAGTACCATCCATAGGAGATACGAGCATAACGGACGTGCCTCGACACACCACAAGTCCAACTTTCCGTGTCTCGTCCGTAATCCGATACTCGTCGTTTGGATCATGCAAAAGCTCAACGCAGTCGTCCAGCACAAGATTCACCAGCTGATCGTAGCCTTTCAGTATACCCGTCACTTCACGACCACCGTGGAATTTGACACGTACTTCTTGGTCGATATACTTGGCCAGGTCCAAGATCGGGTCCTTGCGACTTGCTCCATTTGCTGCCATTTTGTCAATAAAGTCGAATTTGTCGTCTATGATTGGTTGAAATGCAACACGAATCAGATCTTATTATTTTCCAATATGAGCAGCTACGCAGCGGACGAGCGCGTGCTGGAAGCCATCGCGTTGACCAGCACACTATCAGTAGAGAGTAAGTTCGATTGGCTAGAGAGATGAGGGAAGTGCTGTGTTATTCTCATGGTAATTTGGCGGTTTTGAGGCAGATTTTGAAGCGGTAAGCAAGCTTGCAATGCGTCTTTTTGGCTCAGATAAACAGAATAAGCGGCAGTTTGCGCGTACAGCCTGTGAGTATGAGTATGTAATCTGATTCTGTGTGAAGTAACACTTATAGACTTATCTATCTTGCTGGGGGGGACGTTGTGATTTATTGCAATTGTTGACAGCTGCTTCTGGATGGGAGAGTGAACAGATGGAAAAGGTTGTGCTTGCGATAGCCAAGATGTTTATGGATGCTGCTAAGGTATGTAGCGTATCTTGGTGGTGTAGTGAAGTAGCAATAGGGTCCTTGGTAAAATGTGCGGGCACTTGATTGTATGCGTGTTAAACAGGTTGAAATGTCCGAGGATGTCTTCCGGATGGTAGTAAAAGGGATGTCGTTACCGGAGCAACATGTCGAAGTTCTTGCAAAGGTGTGCGGCTGCTGTTGGTCTACGTGGGTATGAGTTCTTTTTCTCATTTGAAGACTCTTTCCAGTTATATAAAGCACATGTGAAAGATATTCGAGAGTGCGTGTCCAGAGAAACAGGCACAAGCATTTCACAGTATCGGAATTTGGAGTGGCGAATCGATCTGGAGGTAGGACGTTGTGTTTTTGAGAACCCGACCATTGATTTCTCAATCTTCTTCTGCAACTTGATAGCTTGGTACACGCTTTCACTACAACAAACCAAAGCCCATTGTGACGCTTCGACTGGACACTCAAGTCAGTAGCTCCGCTGTACCACAAGCTCAGACCACTTGTTTTCGTGTAGACTACGACGGTCTTAAACTAATGCAGCATCAGCTGGAGACTGCATTGAAGGAGGCCGACTCTGTGCATTTCAGTCGCATCCAGCGATACATGCAATGAGGAACCAAATAGGATCAAGAAGGGAGGTTTTCAACTTCTTAAAAAACCAACGGTGAGTGAGGTATTACTTTTCTTTCTTTCGGTCAGCTAAATATTGCTCTTTTGTCTTGGTAAAGGCCGTGACTTGATCCAGTTGCTGCTTTGATTCGTTCGACATGTCGTTCTTTTGCAGCAACAACTCGGCAAACTTGGCCTGCTTTTTCTTTCGAGTCTCTACGTCTGGCTTAATCTTCGCTTCCTGTTTAGTAAAATCAAGCAGTAACCAGTCACTCAGTAAGTACTTTACCGAGTCTCCCAAGCTTACGTACAACATCACGACGAATGTCTTCATCTGATCGAGGGTTCCAATAGGCATAACATAATGCAATGGGAATACCAAAGCGCAGCGTGTAGTCGACGAGCATTTTCGGTACCTTCATTATTTATTATTCCCGAGTACGAACTTAATACGAACTTAAGAAGTGAAATCGGCACCAATAATTTCTGACAGACCAGTATCATGCCAATTATTGTAAGGACGCTCCAATATGCGACTCGATCTGTTGTTGATATATCGACTCCTCGAGCTCAATGCTTGAGCTTTATAGCTCCATTAATACCTGAGGGTCTTCAGGAGATCTCTAGCGTTCCACGCATGCCTTCCTGGTCGCTTCAGGAGCTTCACCAAGAGCATAATACCATGGAATCTGTCCTGACAGAGGAAAAGGTGGAACTACATATAGCTTTTTGATCTATTGCAAGAGAGAGAGAGAGAGAACTGACTTGTCTTGTTGTTGATTTTATTGTCCGATGACAGCTTCGTGAGCTCGCAGAATTGTGTCATTTACATATAGATGATGAAAAGCTTCCGGGGCTGCTCAAGGACGTCGAGTCTATTATTCAATGCACGAAAACCATTCAGAACATGACGATCAATGAAAATATCAATGATGTGTATGCCAAGAGTGATTTTGATGATGGTACATGCAGTGAGGAACTTGTGATACTAAAAATTAACATCTCACATTTTAATGTATTGGTTGATCTACGTCTTGTAGGTATTGTGGCTCCTCTTAGAAATGATGTCGTTACAGAAGGAGACTGTGTGGATCAAGTGATGGCAAACGCGGCAGAAAAGTCAGGCTATTACTTTCAGGTTCCTAAAGTACTGCAAAACTAGACCGTTCTCGAGCTTTGACACAAAATACTAGAGAAATTGTCATTGTTCAAGGCAAAAGGTTATGCATCTGCTTCTTCTTCATCTTTCACTTGCTTCTCCTTGTTAAAGAGATGAGATGAGACTTTCCGAGACAGAATCAACCATCCACTTGAAAAACATTGGCCTTGGCCAAGTATTCCTCCAAATCTACAAACAAACGACAAATAAACACGTTATTTCTACTTTTCACCTATGAATCAAGCATGCACCATACCTTGACTCTTCATGTCAAGTCCATTGAGCTTCCGGATGCCCAAGAGCTGGTTCTGAAGTACCCCTTTGTGATACATAAAGAGCGTCGGACAATTCCGTGATGGCCACTTTTCAATACAAGCCTGAGCCTGAATACTCACAAACTTGACATCTCGGTGCTTCTTGGCCACTTCACGTAGTACGTGGTCCATGACTTTACACTCTTCGAGCGCTTCGTCCCAGAGATAAGCAATCACCCAATGCTCACTGCTCCCGTCCGTCACTTCCTTGGTCCACTCGTCCTTGGAAATACAATGGACGTCACCAAATTTATTACGTGATGCCTGTGCCATCATCTCCTGTATACGTCGTTCACGTATACGTGCAAGCTCAGCATCATCATCGTAATCATCCTCCATCTCCTCCAGTTCGTCCAGCGTCGCCTTTTCACGTGGATCCACGTCTTCTTCTTCTTCTTCTGTCTCATCCGGTACCTTCGTCTTGGGTGCAAGAATACCCTTTTTCACAAGAATGTCTTCCCATTCGGTCGTCTCACCCGTAGGCGCGTAAAATACATTCCCACGATCGCCCATTAGTGTCGTATAGCTGCTTACGTGTGACGTGTTGGTTTAAAGTGTATACAACGTTACGATACCCTTATAACACGTATACCTGTATATTAGAGCGATAGATACCCTTATATCCAAGCTTTAAAGATACCCTTATTTCAGCGTAGAACACTAGTCTCTTATTTCAGGGTAGAACACTAAGTCTCTTATTTCAGAGTAGAACACAGACCTAGTCAACTCTTATTTAAGAGTACAAAATTTGGCGGGAACGTCATTTCGGAGCTTTAAGCAGGTCAAATGGAGACGATGAAGGAGATAGCCGTGAATGTGAATGGCAAAGGCGCTATGCAATTAGTGACTACACTTAAACCCATGAAAGACGGTCAAATTCCTATCGGTCGGGATGTTGTGTATACGAGTGGCGAGGACGGCGTTTTATTCGTGACGGATCTAATGACCGAGAGGTCCGTCTTTCAAGTCGAAGTGTGCGATGGTTTTGTTCCGTCTTTTGCCGTAACGCCAGAGCAAAGTCACGTACTTATTGTATCCGATGATGACTGTAACGTAGCGTCCTATAGTGTCCCACCTGATTGTCAATTGGATCAACTGCTACGTCGTTCTACCGTCTCTATCCGTCAAGTTACGTGTTCATCCAAGTTTATTGCCATTGCAGATGAAGAGCCGGTTGTACGGGTCTTATTACGTAGTAATACGGAGCATGTGATCCTTGTAGAAGGAGCTACAGGAGGTATTAAGAGTGTAGTGTTGGATCCACAGGAAAAATATCTTTGTGTCAGTAGTGAGGACTCGACAGTCCGAGTTTTTGAACTGGATGCACTTGGACAGCGAGCAATTGAAGCAAAGAGCTTTGCTATCAAGCACGGAAATATCAGACATGATGATGTGTTGCTACAGTGTGCCTGGCAGTCAGGAGATGCTGGCAAAATGCTGGCTGTGCCAATGGACAAAGGTATCGTGGAGCTCTTTGAGAGAGAGACGTGGGTGTCCAAAGGGAGACTCATGCTACCTATTGGCAGGAGTACTGCTGCTGATGTGGACATTCTAGCCTTTTCGCCAAACGGACAGTACCTGGCAGCTGCAACGTGTAGGAAGGAGGTCTTTGTATGGGAAATAGAGACACGGACAGTCTTGCGGTCGTTCAAGATTGATTATCCAGCACTAGGTGTCCAATTTGCTAACAAAACTAACGCACTGGTGGTGTATCATATTGGTGGCAAGCTGGCTTTTGTGAAGGACGTGATTCCAGCGGGACACACTCCACCCCAGCATATGATAGGGCAGTCTACTACATCAGTTCAGGTCTTGCAGTCGGGAAGAAACGTGAAGGTGTCAGGACTTGTAGATGACGAGGCTAAGACGGATGGAAAGCACAAAGAGGAAGACGAAGAGGAAGTGAGCTTTGATGATGACAATGAGGCAAGAGTAGAAGCCATCAAGGCCAGCTTCGGTTTTGGCTCGGCACTAAAAGCCACTAACAACAACGAGATTGAAGATGAAGACATCTCAGTATCGGCTTTACCGACTGCGAAGTCTTCGCACCTGCAACTATCACCATTGTGCACCATTACAGAACCATTCCAGCCTGGCAGCGTCATGGACGCAACAGGACGTAGCAGCAGTGCTACCTCATTGCTGGCTTGGACTCCAGAGGGCGAGATTGAGGTGATTCGAGGAGCGAGTATGAGTGAAAACTTAGTAAAGGTGGAATTCGCGGACAAGGGTCGTCGAGGATTCAAGTTTAACGACAACTATATGTTCTCAATGGCATTTCTGGACGACTACGGTGCCATTTTTGCCGTCCCGCGACGCGCTCGTGAAGACTGGGAAGACCTCGAAGCAGGTACCGACGAAAGTGACGTTATTAGCAGCTTTATTTTCTACCGTCCGTTTGAGTCTTGGGCTAGCAATAGCTCGTGGCACAAGACGCTGCCCGAGGGTGAGGATGCTGAATGCGTTTCTGCAGGTCGTGAGTTTTGTGCGGTGGCCACCTCGTTGCATACTCTTCGAATCTACACGTCAAGTGGCATCGACTATGCGCTACTGCGATTACCTGGTCGCGTTGTAACAATGACCGCAAAAGAAACTTTGCTGGCTGTTGTGTACCAGGGACTGCATGGACAGATGCTCTACCAGCTCCTTCGCATTCACGTGAACTCGTCACGCGAACGTGTTGTGTTGGTCTCCAAGGGTCAATTGTCCATGACGCCTTCACCACGAGATGTTTTTGCGTCGCACAAGGAGAACGACACAATACGCGAAGACGTCCGAAACTGGTCGAAGCTGACATGGATTGGTTTCGATGACCGCCAGATTCTTTATGCGGTGGACTCGTTCTCGTGCATTCAGGCACTGTCACCCAGCACAGGATGGAACTGGTTTCCTATCGGCTGTGTTGGCAACGCGCTGCAGAAGAAGCCGGAGGACCGTCACGGTATTTTTACACTTGGCGTGGTTAACGACTCATTGCTCTACTTCCCGCTGGAGAAGGGCGCTCGGGTTCCCAAGCTTCGCGGTAATCACCGTCCGGTACCTGGTACGTTCCCATTGCGCACGGCGTCTTTTCCAAAGACGTCAAAGAAGAACGAGGACGCTTTAAATGGCCACATGTGGCAGAATGTGCGACTGTGTGGACTAGAGGCAATTGCAAACGATGCAAACGTTGGTAACATCGCAGACCAAGTAGTCCATGAGCAGGCTGAAATGGACAAGGCACTTATCTTGATGATGAAGACGGCTTGCATGAATGACGATCCTGCGCGAGTGCTTGACTTGGCAAAGTGTCTGCATCTTGAGAAATCCCACCAGATTGCACAGAAGCTCGCTATTCACTTCTCTCTGCGCCAGCTGCAGTCACAACTATACGAGCTGTACCGCGTCAAATTTGAACAGCCTCAGCGCTTCGAGCAGGAGTCGATGGTACAAGCTTCTTCTGAACCTCGTCAACAGCCAGCTACAAACCGCTCTAGCACAATGAAAGACAAGCTCGAGCCACGGAATGTGGAGCCTCTCAGTCGTGCTCGTAGCATTCTGTCGCGACCGCCGTCTACGCCTTTGCGTGACGAATACGACGACATGGAAACTGCCTCTATCGACGAGACCCAAGAAACGAAGGCCTTGACCCCTACACCGAAGACTACTTTTGCAAAGGGAAGTGCTGTACGCGTAGAGCGGTCAGTGGTACCAGCGAATCCGTTCCTGAAGAAAGCTAGTGGTTCCTCGACATCACCCACAGGCA